TGGACTGCATTACTTAAGTCCCCCTTTTTTTTTTTTTTTTTTTTTTTCATAAGCCTCAGTTTATCCCCCTCTTTTAGGTGGTTTCCAAGCCGACCTTTAGTCAAAGCTTGTTTTCACAAGACTGTGCCCTAAATGAATCATCCGTGTGGGGGCTGCTAGTGCCTGTGGCACCTGTGTGGATTAGAAGATGACACACTGTCTAGGTGAATGAATGACAAAAATGACCGCCCTTCCTCTGGCCTGAGCCTGGACACAGGCTAGATTCCAGCCCTTTGCCTCTCAGCCCTGAGGCCCATCAAATGGGAACTATGCACAGTGCTGAACAGCGGCCCTGCCTATATCTTGCCATGTTTGGAAACTGCCACACAGGGTGACCTGTTGTTTCCTGCCGTTTGCTAACCTGAGTCACGCCTGGCCTGTCAGCTGCCTGGTGGGAGGTTTGTGGAAACAAATGAGGGGAAGAATGTCGTCCACATGCAAATTCTCCTCTAGCCAGCAGGGGGCACTGCAGGCTCTTCCTGAAGTGGGCTTTAGTGGCTTTCCTACTGCTGCCTTCAGTTTTTAGGCAAAGTCCAGTGATTCTGCCCGCCAACTTCCTCACCTCAGCCCTGGTTCTACTAGTCATAGCCACCTGCCATGCTGTAAGGAAGGTCTCCCGCAGCGAAAGAGAACTCTAGCCCCAACTATGGAGAAAGCACGGGCTCTGAAGTGAGTGGCTGTCCAGGCGGAGTCTGAGGGCAAGCTGCTGCAAGGAGACGTGGGAAGTGTCAGGTCTGATCTGATCTGAGACAAAGACACCAAGGACGTGATGTCTTAGAGAGGGATGTGCTGAACGTGCGCCAGCATGATGCTGTTGTGGAGAGGGAAAGCCAGTCAGAGCTACCCTGGAGGTGATGAGCTGTCACTGGGATGCTGTGCAAAGGATTCTGGGATGAGCTGATGTGCCTGAGAGGTACCAGCGATCACTCCACCTTTGTATGAATCCATGCAGTCCTTTCTTCTCCACACAATGAGTGATGGTTCACCCCCTCCGTTGCTAAGCAGCCCTGGCACTCAGCCCTGGGGAAGGGTGGAAGAGTGGATGGTTGGTCCCCTAGGAAGAAGGGGCAAGCAGACTTGTATTTGTGCATTGATTGCCTGGCTCCCACAGAGAACCCAGCAATGAGGAGACCTGGAAGCATCATCAGAGGGCCAGGAGAGGAGCCTGGGAGATGGGATGAAGGTCAACCAGAGACTCTAACCTCTGTCTTTCTAGGCATTTGACTCAGGATCTGAAGGAGTCCATGTGCTGGGCAGTGTATCTCGGGGTAACAGCTGAAAGAAGGAAGACAAAGAAGGCTCAGGAGTTCCTGGGAATGAGCACCAGCCTGGGCCAAACAAAAAACACGGGGCTGAGCATGCATCTGTGTCTGCAGCATGCCGACACTGTTCCTGGAAGACAGTGATGCTCATGAAGTAGACACAGCCACTTTATGGAACCACTGGCATTAATGCACCAGGAAGGCACCATGTGAAGGTGTTTTTGCACAGAGTCATTTTCACCATTATAGCCAGGACCCTTCCAACCAGCACAGGAAGGCTCAGGGTAGAACCAAGTCTATAAGGGGCTTCCTCCACTACTGGTTCTCCACGCCTGGCCAGAGATGCTGTGTGATCTAAGAACAGCTGCAAGAAAATGAGAAGGGGGTGAGAGAAGCCTAGCCTCAGAGCACTTTCCGTCTACACTGGATCACACAGTAGCCTTCTGCCATGAGGCCATAATCACCTCCTTGAAGGATGTCCCTCCCTGAGGCTCACAGTCAGTGGTCACACAATGCTTGTAAGGATATGCAGAGTGCAGGTTCACAGAGTGTCCTTAGGCTGCCCAGTCAGAAAAGGCCTGTGTACTGTGAAGACAGCACCAGATGTTGCCAAATTTGGATGCTGGGATGCATGAGGTCTAATGTTCAGGGCCTGGTCATGAATACTGCAAACCCTTCCAGGTTTCTCAGGAAACAGGGATAGTACCATGCCAGAAGCAAGAAGATAAGGTGCAGTAAAAAAGCTGTGGATTTCACTGGAGACACCATGAATAGATAGATACAGCCAGCCTGGGCAGTGCAGAAAAGTCCAAATTCCATTATTGAAACCAAAAATGAGCATCTCAAGACTGGACAAAAGCTTTTGTAGCTGGAATAAAAGGCCAGAAGTCCTGGGGGCAGGCTCTGGCTGCAGCCAGCCAGTCCTCCTGATGGACTCAAGGGCTAAAGAGGAGCCTGGCAGCCCGAAGCATTGTTTATTGTGTTACCAGGAGATTTAAAAATCAGCTGAGCATCAGAGCCCAAGGCCCAGCCTCAGACTGCAGCACTGGGGCAGAAGAGCCAACCACTCCCAGAACACTGGACCCCTTTAGCTGGAAGTACCACATCCCTAGGCCTGGCAGAACACTCCTAGGAAGTGCTTGCCAACAGAGTCCCAGGCCCTGTGGGACTGCTACTCAGCAGAACAGTAGCTCTGTTTGTTACTAAGCATGGAGACTGCTAAGATTACTACAGAACTCCCTTCGGGGGAGGGAGATGTGGCTGGACATCTGGCTGAGTCAGTAGAGTGCTTGCCTACTGAATACAAAAGCCTGGATTCAACTCACAGCATTGCACAAGCTAGGTATGGTGGTGCACACCTATAATTCCAGCACCCGAGAGATGGAGGCAGGAAGAGTCAGAAGGCCAAGGTGATCCTCAGCTACGTAGCCAGTCAAGGCCAGTCTGGGCTACATGAGACCCCATCACAAAAAGAAAAAAGCAAACCTCTTTCCCCTACATGATGGCTAAACTACATCAGTGGGAACACAGCAGAATATGCTAAAAGAACACAGAAGCTAGCCAGAAGTTCAAATCTAAGACAGGCTCGTTGTTACACCTCTGTTCAATTGGTGTGCAAAGCTATGATCAGACTATCAAAGGCCCTCCATAGCATGTGGTGAACAGCTCTTCCCCAGTCCCTGGGACACCCTTGGTAACCTCAGATGCCCTGGCCCCTCTGCTGGGAATGCTGTCTCTTCCTGTGATACAGCCTGTTAGAGGATATACCAGCACTGTGGCTCGTCTCTACTCTCTTGAGGTGACTACGGGGACACCAGGGTCTGCCCCCTGCCTCTTGAGGTGTCCTGGATATACTGATTTGCTCAGAGTCACCCAGCTAGTGGGAGGCAGTGCTGGGACTGTCGGATACTGGGACATGGATGCCCATCACTTCCCATACAGTGGCAAGAGAAGCTCCAGTCTGAGATGTTCACAGGAAGAACTCCCCGGAAGCTGACTTGTTGAAAAGCTGACACATTTCAACAGACACATTTTGGTTAGAGCATCCTGACTAACAGTGACTTAAATGAGATCATGTGCAGTCCTACTATACCACTGTCGAACAGCTTCAAGCTATGTGAAACTTTGTTTGCACATCTTTGAGTTGAGCTAATAAAGGGTTTGGCCATCTGAGGACTCTGAGGCCAAGCTGGATCCATTGTCTGCTGTCATGAAGAAGTGTCTGTGGTTTTAAACAGCGTGTCCACTGGTTCATAGATGCACTACAGAAGCAGAATTTAAAGGTACCAACAGACACCCCAAAACCAAAAGAATAGTTACTATCTGACCCTCTTATGAAGAATATCTGCTGACCCCTGGGCCAAGGCAAACACTGCTGGACCACTGGGACAAACAAGGTTACACCCTCCTAAACATTTAAGGACAGAAGTTGGTTCCATTGCTAAGAGGAGACGAGATGGGGACTCAACGACTGTCTAATCCTTTCCTGACACTTGAGGATTTAAAATTCCAAGTACTGTCATTTGCAATTTGGCCAATGCATAAATTTGACACAAGTCAAACTGAATTCACCCTCTCAACTGAAGGGTGAGGGACCAGGAAGGACAGGATCTTGGCTACAGGTGGCCTTGCTGGCCCTCCAGCACCCATCTCCACAGCTGTAGTCTTGGCTCCCCATTGGCCTCATGGGGTCTCTTGAGCCCTGATGCATGCTGGTAAGTGGACGGCTGTGAAACATGGGCTTTGAAGAACGCGAAGTGTCCAGTGTTGACTCCAGCAGCTCAGATCTAGTATCCTCAGGCGCTCTCTGGAAACAAGTTCTCAAGGCTCCCCAGAAGGCTTTGTCTCGGCAGAGGCTGTTGGAGTGAAAAGTGAGATTCCACTAAAAGGTGGAAGTTTTCTCCCAGGTATGAGATATAAGCAGCAAAGTCACCCTCACAATGGAAGTTTTCAGAATCCTCTACAAACATGGCAAGCTGTCTCGCCTCCTGTCACCATCCCATCATGACAGTCACCCTTACAAAGCCCAGACTTGGCTTCAGATTCTTCATACAGCATTTCAGGCAGCCTTTCCCAGTTGGAGGCGGCATGGAGGATGGAACCTGGATACTAACTGCCTTTGTGGACCGGACCATCGCTTTCTGGAACGCAGGCGTGGTCCTTGATGTTCCTTCTCTGAT